AACTTAATTAATAGCCTCTCACCATATCCATTCTGGTGGACATGTTAACTTAATTATTTATTTTGACATTAATGTATAACCAAGACAAAAGGAGCTCAAAATTGGATAAAGGTACTAATATGTGTTGGAACCAAACTTAGTGAATGGTGGGATCTCACATTCTCACCTTTAATTCTATTCATTGTGTATTTAAATATGCAAGAAAGAGTAAAAATTAGGAAAATTAATTGCAATTGAATTTATGCTATTTTTTGTACAGAACCCCTAATATTATTCTTTTCTTTTTTTTATTGATCTCGATCTTTTGTATCAGGCAATGCTGATGGATTATTCCGTTTTATGTAATTTGGTTGGTTGATTTTGTTTCTTATTACATTTATGTATTGGCTGCCTATTCATTATCTAATCCTCTTTTTAATTTCACTGGATATGTATCAAGTTAAAATTTTTACTCATTTCCTATGATTTAAGGGGTCTGTTCTCATATACATATAAAATTTGTATTTCTCCTCTTTTACGTAATATATATTTTTCATATATTAGTTGGTTGGTTCCGATAGAGACTTGAACTTGAATCCCTCTACAACTTTTATTATTCTCTCAACTCAATTATTCGGTATTGCCCGCCTGTGCTTAGAACGGGCGCTCCTCGCTAGTTAGGCATTAAACCAACGAGGACACAACCCTATATATTAAAATCATTCCTGAAATATCTCTTTCTTATAAAATATTTCTACCCTAAAATATCTCCCTCTTTCATGCCATATTCATTGGTTTGCCTTCCAAATGTTCCTTAAGTAAAGTCACAAGGACTCTTAGCCTCTCCTATTAGCCCACCTCATCATGATCTTCAAGCATTCACAATTGTGATAAAGATGGAATCATGGAAACCTACCAAAATCGGTTCTCTCCTCTCCAAAGTCATAACATTACTTTTCATCACCTCTCTTTAATGTTTGATGGAAAAAAAAAAAAAACAAACTAACCAATCTCTTTATCTCTCCAAGAATTCAACTACTCTTTCTATTTTTAATTTTTCATTCATATCTATTTATAAATTTCATTTATCTTCTATGTTATTGAATTTTTAATATTATTTATAGGATAATAAAATTTTTAATATATTTTTTCAATTAATTAATAAAGTCTTCTAATTATGTTTACATCTAAGCCAGGATTGAGCTAGGATTGAAATATTGGAAGCAAGCCCGACTTGGAAACTAGTGGGCCTAAGGCATGCTCAAGCCTTCAGCCAAGCCTTAAGACAAAACCTAGGCCTAAGCCTTGAATTTTTGAGCTAGGGTCGGACTTGGGTTGGGCCTAAAGTATTAGACCCAAACTCAACTTTGAAATTTGCAAGCTTAATGTAGGCTCCAACTTGGACTTGGCCTAAACATAAAATCTATACCCAACCTTGGAATTTTTTGTCTGAACCAAGCCTGAACGCAAAACATAGGCCCAATGGTAAAATTTTTGGGCCAAATCAGGCCTTTTCATCTATCTCTCTTTAACATCTCAATATAATTTGATTGAACAAAAGCAAACTAATATTTTAATCCATTCTTTGTCAAAACACTCTATGTCTCTCCCCAAGAATTCAACCACTCCTATTTTCACTTATCTTCAATATTATGGATATTTTTACTATTATTTACAAGATAATAAATGTTTTTAATATTTTTTTGATTAATTATATATACTTAGTTAATTAAGTCTTCTTATTACGTTTACATCTAGGCCGCGCTTGAGTTGGGCTTGAAGTATTGAGCACAAGCCCAATTTGGACACTTGTAAACCTAACATAGGCCTAGGCCTAGGCTAAGCCTGAACACAAAATCTTGGCCCATGCCTTGAATTTTTGAGTTGGGTTAGACTTGAAGTATTGGGCCCACTTGGAAATTTGTGGGCTTAGGTTGGACCTAAACACCAAACCTATACCCAACTGGAATTTTTGGGTCGATTCAAACTTGAAGTAGGCCTAAAGTATTGAGCCCGAGCTCAAACTAAAAATTTGTGGGGTTAATGCAGGCAAGGGCCTAGAGCGTTAACACAAAACTTAGGCCCAAACCTAGAATTTTTCGGCTAGGCCGAGCTAAAAATGACCACCCCTATATTCAACTTCAGCGTTTAATATGGTATAGACTGAGACTGGAGAGAGAACACAAAATTTTAAGCTTCCTCGTGTTGATCATTGGTACCTTTTCTAATATGCAATGTGCACACTTGTGTTTCCCTTCTCAAAGCCCCTGCAAAGCAAGGCCCCCTCGCTACTGTTTCTTTAGTCAAGCATACATTTTAACTGAATTTTATTCAAACACAAATTTTTCTCTATTCACATCTCTCTCAATTGAATTTACCATTTCATTTACTTCCGAACTTCTTATCTTGCTTTATTTCTATCAGTTCTCACATCTTTCTATTAATAAGCTTCTTAAATTCTTCTCGTTTTTGCACAAAATATCTATTAATTGGGAAATGTTTGTTTTGTATAATTAAATCTAAGAAACGTGTAGTTATTGAAGGTTGTATTAAAGAAAATACCTACTTGTCACAACGAGTAGAAGTCTAGAGCCTTAAAGGGTTACCTCCACTTAGACATGGCTGCCTCTCCCTTTAGAAAGAAGTATCGAATACATGGGTTACCTCCACTTCTTAAAAATGTGCTCACTTCAAACGATGAGGGACCAATACCGATAATGACCACCCTTCTAATTAAATTTCCTAATTCAAATAATTGATTCACCATAAAGATTTTCAATTGGTTAATTGATGTGCGTCTCATTCTTTTAGATAACAAAGAAAACAATAGGAGATCATCTATAACAAAGAAAATCAAACCCAAATTCATCACAAGTAGTGGATCCCAAAGTATGGGGGTGGTCATTAGCAAGTTATTTATTGAAAAATGAGAACTCACAAGTGGCACAAACAATGCTGGTACGTATTCGATGGATCGGGTTGAATGGTAAAACCTGGCTTGACCCTATATAGGTCAATATATTTGGCTTTAGAGTCAGGTTAGGGTTTTGCTTATTCAACCCAAGTCGGGTTTAGGTTTTGGCTGACTCGCCCTGCTGGGTCATGATACACTGCGTATATACAAAGTATTCTTGTAACTTTTTGACTTTTAACTCTATAGCTTTAAAGTGACATTTTAGATTCTATAAAACAATTTTCAAAGTTAAATTAATGGCTTTTAAGTCTTCAAAATGTGTTAAAAAATACAATTGAAATGCTACAGGTCAGGTTGGATCAGTATCAGATTAGACCCTATAGGGTCGGGTCGTGTTAGGAAATCATGTATTTTAAGACGTGTCAGGTTGGGTTCGGGTTGAGGCACTGTAGGGTTGGGTTAGGGTTGAAGCAAACACATGCCAAACCTGACCCATTGGCATCCCTAATCCCCAGAAATCACCATAGATAGCATGGCTACTTTTTCTTCAATTTTATCACCTTTTTACCAATTGAACCAACTCTACCTTATTGACTCGACAAGAGGTAGGGGTGTCAATGGACCAGGTACGGATTGAACTGTATCTGAATCAAAATCAATTTGCACGGTTGGACGAACCAATAAGACATATTGGACTGGACCAATCCAGACTTAATGGTACAAAGTATTTATTGGATAGGATTGGACCTGGTCCATCTGTAATGGGTTTATAATGGATTAAGTTGGATTAAACCAATGTCCAGTCCATTTACAGAAGATAAAAATATGGGTGCCAATGGACTAGGTTTAGGTTGGGACCAATCTAAATTAAAACCAATTTTAACGGATTGGACGGTATAGACATATTGAATTGGACCAGTCCTAAATAGTCGAAAGTATTCATTGGTTTGGATTGCCCTAACAAGAGGCAACTTGGAGTCTAGGATTGGATTCAGGGCAGGGGTGCAACTTGCACAGGATTAACCTGAACCCAACGCAAAATATAGGATTGGATATGATCGAGTTGAAGTTATTAGGGGGTTCAGGTTAGGATTGCAAAATATGAAACCAACTTAATTTTGTGGTGGTTTAAGGCTGAGGTCTTGGGCAACCTGAACGCGATATATAAATATGTATGTATGCACGCACGCAAAACATATATGATGCTTTTACAATATGTGTATTCGCATATGTATATTTTGAAGGTAAAATAATTAGTATAATATAAAATTTGAATGGCCCAAGCCCAAAGGCCCGAGCTCGATAAAGCATAAATTCTTAAAGCCAGGTACCAAACTTGCAAGGTTGCACCCTATTGTAATATGATAATGTTAAAACGAGTAAACTTCAATTATCTACTGAATCAAGAATGTTTCAACAAAATGATGTGAGGAAATTAGGCCAACCCAACCCATAAAAGTTGGGTTTGGGTTCAACAATTCGGGTTAAGTTCGGGCTAATTAACCTAGACGTTACCTTCCCGGCCCAACTTATATCCTTTATCGGATTGCATTAATTCATGGCAGGACAGGCCCATCTTCAACCCGATCAGAAGATGAGAAGACAAGCAAATGCACTCCTACAAGTACTAGAACTAGAACCAACCGTGTCATCAATCTAGCTTATCAAAGATCTGACTCTGACCCAATAAGACCCAATTATACTCCATATTTGGCAAGCCTTTAGTTTAGTATTTTGACAATGAAAAGTTTGGTATGTCCCCTAAAAAATGAATAATTTTAAACATCTTATATGAAGATACTTACAAGTGAATCCTCAGAGACTAAGTATAAAATGTTTGTGTGTACCCAAACTTTCTTTTTGCGATTCAAAAGCACCTGTGGACTTGCACAACTCAGAATGGGGGAAATTAGTCCTGCTGAACTGGATGGAAACTTAGCAGCAATTCTGATTTCTCAATGCATGATTGAAAATTCAAATTTCACAAATTTATGAATTGCACTCTCCTGCATAATTAGATTCAAATGGCTAAACCTGGAAATTTTCAGAATTTGTACACAATTCCATTTCCTTCTCATTCAAACACAACCTAAAATATGGAAATTTATGTAACTTTATCGTTAGAGATACATGACCACTCTTCCCTACTATTCACACGTCGAACCAATCAAGATTATGAGTTAGGAGTCCTCAGAGATAGTGAAGAACCATGTTATACAATAGGGTTTCAATCTGCCCTAAATGAACAAGAGAAATTTTGCACAAGGAAATTAAACTAGAACATGATTTCCTTGTGCTGACCTAAAATTATCAACAGACCTACAAATCAATCAATATGTGACCGAGAAATTTTGTATACACATCAGCTGTTGAACATCATGACCTTTGGAGCAAACCTCAACAACCTGTCCAAAGAATTGGGATAGAACTTCCTTGCAAATAGATAGCAAATGTTGGTTGTATTCCCATTGTACTTGCAAGTTGTTGCAGTCCTCATCATCTCTAAAAGCTCAATAGTTACATCTGTTCTGATAAACCTAGTAGGGTGCGGTCCTCCCCTTGACCAATCAACCCAAGTCAAGGTTCTGTTTGAATTCTTCTCCCAGAAATTCACACTCACAAATGTTGGTATATAGTGTTCATCCGAATAACATGAACCTTTGCAGTATTTCCCAAACACAGAGAAATATTTGACGTCGGAGACTATCTCGATGGCGAGGTCTCGGTCCATCTCAAACCACTGAGCACCCTTTCGCCATTGATCGAGGGTGATAAGTGGCTTCATCCGGTGATTATATCGGCCACGACCCACTGGGCCTGGTTCATCGTAAGCCTCTACAAATGTCATGTTAGATCCAATGAGATAGTTGTAGACGGTAGAGAAATTGAAGAGGGGAATGCACGCCTCCGATAGCAGAATGAATCTTTGATTGGAAAAGTCAAGTAGGGCATTTGCCAGTAGGCGCCGCTCAGCTTGTATCATGTTAAATTTTCCCCATTGCACCTCCTGTTTCATAACACCATGAACAACATTAATTGCTCAGGCTTAGGCTTTCTTCTATAGATAGAGCTGTCAATATAATGGATCAGATCTACTCAATAGAACTAAACAAAATCAAACCAATTATACCCGGTTCGACTCAATTATCCAATTAATAATTAATAATTGGTTCGGTTCTAGTTTCAAACAATATTTTAAAAACCGAACCAGAGGCCGAATTGCTTTTTGTCTCATGGGTCACCAGTTCGGCTGTTCAGGTTAAATGGGTCAGACTATATATATGTATGTATGTATTTTATCAATAAATAATGTATAATTATAGTTTACATGTAATATATACATATATATATATATATTATTTTATATTTAATTGCAATTTAAGGCTAAAAAAGTTTTTTTTTCATGAAAATAGTGGGATAAGGCGTCTGCGGCTCCCTGGAACACATAGATATTGAAAAGTTACTCCAAAGCAAAAAATTAAAAATCACCCCAATCGGATAATAGAGCGCAAATTTGTGGTTTTCAAAAATTTGCATACACATTACCCTTGAACTGATCACTAGGTCGAACAGATCAATGGTCAAACCACCTAAATTGAATGATTTTTCAACCAAATAATAGATTTTACTAAAATTAAACCTAGAATCATGATCAACTAACAATTCAAACAGTTCAATTGGCTGGATCAACAACACGGTGAAACATTGGTTCTGAATTTTGTATCCCAATTATAATCGGGCCAGGACGATTCCACCCTGTATTCCCGGATCAGACCCGATCCATTGACAATTACAGAAACAAGTGTAATATTGCAATTTGCAAAAGCACTCAACTGGATAAACCGATCCCCATATATGACCTTGTTAATATATATTTTATATGCTTCTATTGTTTGTATTGGACCTATTGGTTCCATGTTGACATGACTTCATACCGACGCATAAGTCAGCTTGGACCGGGGGAGGTTGTTCTGAGTTCTCATCCCATTCCCTCATGCTTTATTAGCCTTTACTATTAATTGGATGATGCGTAAGCAATGGGCAGCGTTGTCTAAATGCAGCCACCATGGCCAAAAGCAACAACATGCCATCTATATATATAAAATTATAACCTAAAAGTAAGAGGTTTTATGGCCCATTGCTGTGTATTTACCAAATGAAATATGTTGTTTATATAACCTAAATGAAATCTTATAATCTTTTCTTTTCATATTTTTAGCTATTACCTTTACAAATTTAATTAATTATAATAATACTATTAAATAAAACAAAAAAAAATAATCATAACTTGTCTTTTCTCCTTTTCTCTTTCATATTTGATACTAAATATATAATTATTTATAATGGTGCCACAGCTAATTATTTATAATGATGCCATTAAATTTTTACATTTTTCATATTTATTAAAAATTATCTTTATCTCTCATTTTATTTACAATCGGACCGTGTTGGGCCATGCCTTGTGGGTCGTGATTCCCTTCCCTAGGATATTTTAGGGGTCGGCCCGACACAACCCTTGGCCTAAGCCCACACAGGCCTATGTCGTGCTGCAGATCAGATTGGCCCACGGGCCAAGTCTTAGGCCAGGTCGGGCCACGAACTGGGATAGTCCATGCTTTTAAAAATTTTGAAAAGAATAACGAAAAAGTTAACATAAATTAAAAAATAGATTAAAAATTAAAAAAAAAAAACTTAAAATTTTACTTTATATGAATTTTGATGTATACAATTGTTTATATATGCAATAATAAAATGAAATAATATAATAAAATTATATATTATATAATTGTATATAATATACGACCCAAGCCGGCACGGACCCATGCTGTGCCATGGGCCAAGTTGGGCCACAAACCGAGATAAGCCATGTATTTTAAAAATTTTGAAAAAAAATAATAAAAATTTTAACATGAATTAAAATAAATAGACAAAAAAATTAAAAACAACCTTAAAATTTTATTTTATATGAATTTTGATGTGTACAATTGTTTATATAAGCAATAATAAAATTGAAAATAAAATTATATATATATTAATATATTAATTTTATATAATATACAACCAGAGCCTACGCGGGCCCATGCCATGCCACGGGTCGAGTTGGTCTGTGAGTCATGTCTTAGGCTAGGCTGGGCCATGAACCAAGCTAAGCCTTGTTTTTTTTTAAATTTTGAAAAAATAATGAAAAGTTTAACATAAATTTAAAAAGCAGATAAAAATATTAAAAATATCTTAAAATTTTATTTTATCCCGAGCCCGCACGGGCCCATGCCATGCCATGGGCCACGAATCGGGTTAAGCTTGTTCATGGGCTTAGTAGCTCGATAGTTCATCCCGGCCCATTAACAACGCTAAATTAATTAGTTAAATAATTTGGGATAGCCTTTACCAATCTTGCGTTAATAACACATAAAGTTTTATTTATTTATTTACTTATTTTACTAAATTATTTAATTAGTTAATAATTTAATAATCTAACAAATTATTATTGCTAGCAAAGTAAGACATAGAATAGTGTATATATTTACTCTCTCACTTGATTCCTATTTATCTCATTTATTTTACTAAATTTATTTATTTAGTAAATTAAATTAATTATTATTTAACTATTTACAACTATTCCACTATATAAAACAAAAATACAATGACAAAAGTCATCTCTCCCTCTTTCACTCTATTACCTAATATAATGGCCATAATTATTTATTTATTTATTTAATATTTTATTTTATTAAATTAAATATATTATTATCAATAATTTTTATTTATTTTAAATAAATCTTTTTTCTAATAAATTTTTAATTAAAAATTTTAACTTTTACAAATTTTTTCCTATATAATAATTTACCTTTACAAGCCACTTACTATCATGTTTTGCCTACTAGTTTATTAATTTGGTGATAAAGACCGGGGACGACTGGCCGTGGGTGGAGGGAGGAGAGAGATTGAGAGCGCTAGTGAGCATAGGCCTCAGGCCTGAGGCTAGTACTGATTTGGTGGAAAGTTTATTTATCTGTCTAACATCAAAAGTTTGATCACAGCTTCATAGTGTTGTCTTGTGGAGTATTAAAATGAACGGACAAGTACGGATACACACGATGCAAATCCTGAATTCCAGCCCCCCTAATACCAGCCCTCTCTCCCTATAAATCACATCCTGTACTTTGCCTATAAAATTCTGATCTGGGTTAATTGGTCATTGCACAAGCTAGAGATTTGTTCAATACGTTATAAGTTTCCCAAGGAAGCAAATGAATTCCTACGGACAGTTTCCTAATAAATTTCTCTGCCTTCCATGTTCCTTGCGGCACTGCTCATGGTTTCAAATCAGAAAGCAATCTAGCTATCTGTGGCTTAAGCGCTACATCTATTATTTATTATGGCTGGCTTTTGAAGTTGGTTCTTCTTCTCCCACTCTCATTTTTGTCCGCTTTCATCAATAAGATATTCATGGTTACATACTAAAGGGAATTGCACCATTGAAGAAAGAGACAACTAGAGCTCACATAACAAGAAGAAAAGAATTTTTAGATTAGATTGAGTAGATTCCTTGCCTGACTGGATTCCTAGCAATGAACCCAACGAAATTATTATTCTTCTTCAGGGAACCAGTTGCTTTTATCATCCCTTGTTACTACTACTTGGGGACCCAATTTGGTAAACCGATCGAACCGTGTATGTAAACAGTGCACATTTTTGAGCTTCTCTATGTCTAACCATACGAGTTTAACCCAGAAAGGCAGAAACTTTTCTTTTTAGAAACAAAAGAATAGTCAAACTACAAGGCATTATTTAGATTTTCCTATCTTAAATTTATCTTCTGGTTCATATTTGGTAGAGCGTTGAACTGGAAGGCACCAGGCATGCAATAAGATGTAAAAGCCAAAATAGAATTCAAATTACTTGTGTAGAGAAACTAGTCACAAAAATGAAAGTTACCTTACTGGGGATCCTCCGGCCTTGAAATACAGGACTCTCAGCTTCTGATTCATTGAAGTTGGGATTGGAGTGGACGTAGATTGAGTAGAGGCCTTCGTGACCCTTGAAGAACATCTCCCACAGAGGAGCCATTGCCAATCGTCCCCTGGTTAAGAACATGAAGGCAACCTTTGGAACCCGCTTGTAAGGGTATTTACGTACCCCAGGCGTCATTGATGCTTTCCACAGCAATTCCTCATCGTCCATGTCGTGCATAACAGTAGGCGGTTTCAAATATTCTTTCAACCCAATGCGCGCCGCCGAGGATGGTTGTTTCTGCGGTACTAGAGGTAACACTGACAGTGATGATGGCGAAGAAGAGACAGGAAACAGGCTGACTTGAAAATTGAATGGCGAATCCTTTAGAGAGAAACCTACTACGACTCCAAGGGCCAAACCCAAGCCAAAGAAAACGAAATATGAAAGAGGGTTCAGTATCTGTAACCGGGCACTGAAGAGCTTGGGTACTATGGAGCTTCGTGGTGATTGTCGTTGATGTTGTTGTTGTTGTTGCTGATACTGGTTCTTCATTTTGCGGGGGCCGGCAGCTGGCTGGGGATAGGTGCTGGTTCTTCAATTCGAAGGAGATACTGACTTTGTAAAAGAAGATTCTTGTCAGCTAAACAAACGCAGCCCTAGCGGCGCCAATAGTAACTGGAGAAATTATTATTAAAAAGAAGGAAGTTCATCAATTTCACAAATAAAATAGGATGATAATACAGCTATTAATTATTCTCGATTCTCAAAACGTATGTGGCCAAATGAAACTGTCCCTTCCTCCCCAAAACACGAATCATCACTTGAAAAACAAATTAAATTACGGTGCCCCAACTCATCAAATTGTATCACAATTTCAAAAGACTCCAAATAAGAAACCAACGTCAGTCAGAAATGGATCGCCACTTGGCCAGTACAGAACCAACTGGACCCAAACTAGGTTAGCAGATCTTGGAGAAAGAACGTACGATAGTCCTCCTCTCCTCTCACAGAGAAATTAAAAGACTAGAGATAAAACAGTCTGGAAGAATGAGGGAGACGGAGAGAGAAGCAGTAGTGTCGGTTTGAATGCTGGCGTCACAGAATGATTATGGACTGAGAGTACTGGAAGCAAGAGTTGTGCGTGGTTTGTGATCAGTAGAGGGATTTATTGTGGCAGAGGCAAGCCCATTTGGTAGTTAGGTATGGCTGTGATCTCACTTGGGGAGTTGGGGTAGGGGATTGGGAGGGAATCTCTATTATCCTTGGTCTCAACTGTTATTCAGAACATTTTTGTTCATTTTGTTGCATTTCATGGACACTAAGGTTGTTGAGACTTACCCTTCCCTACCTTTTCCTTCAAACCAAACATAGCCTAAGTCTCAACCGTTATTCAGAACATTCTGTTACTTTTGTTTACCTACATTTTTGGGGTGGCTATTTTACGTTTCCACCAAAGATCGGTGTTTGGATATTTTACTTTTCACAGCCCAAAGATTACAAAGCTTTTCCTTTTGCTTCTAAATGGGGCTACACAACTGGGGGTGGCCATCCTCAATACGCATGGGCATGATTTGATTCATAGTCTCCATTAAGGCCTTGTTTTCTTTTCGGTAAGTTATTTATTCGGGTAAATGCAGTTATCTGAATAAGTTTTTTTTGAGAAATACTTACCCAGTTAAGTGTATTTATCCATGTTCTTTTATTTCCCAAATAAAAAAAAAATGACCATTTTAACTATAAAAATCCATTATTAAAGGTGGCAAGAAAACAAGCTTTTCCTAATCCCCACATTAATCTAAAAAAAAGAGAATGATATTCTTGATTAATGGGAACCAAAACCTCATTAACCAACTTTTCCCCCTTCTCAAAATCCAAAAACAGAACACCCCCTAAAATGAACCAGAGACCCTACTGCGCTATTGTCAATGGTTTCAACTCTCAATGATTTCAAGATTAGGGAGCACCCAGCTAACATTATAACTATGGGTTCAAAAGCTTTGGCTGTAGCTGCTGTAGAGCTTGGGCTATCCAACAGGACTACAGCCTAGGGACCAGACATGACATGACACGTTATCATGGGTGTGGGGTAAAACAATAATTGACCTCCATTTTCCTTTGAGGCTTAGTTTGGAAGGAGTATAAAATATAAGGGATTTTTACTGTTTAGTCCACCCTAAAAAATCTTGGCTCTATTGACAGTTGGGGTAGGTGCTAGTTCGGAATTGATATCAATAATACATAGGCAGGTATTGGTGTTATAGGTGGAGTTGTTTGAAATTTTGAAATGTTGAAAGTTTTCAATAGAACTCAGAATTATGAGATGAAAAGTGCAATCTACTTATCCTTAAAGCAAATATGTAGAGTGCAAAACCTTGTGTTTATAGTATTTTGTATCTATTTGTACTATACATATTTGTATTTATATTCTTTCTAAACTGAGCCTAATCAAAGAAAAAATAAGCAATGGGTTAATATATCATGCCCAACATTCCCAGCAGCCAAAGTTTATACCTTGAATGTTTATGGACACTCATGCATGATAAGGTAATTAATTACACATGGCAATGTATTTAGAGAATTAGGATTAGCTGTTCAGCGGGCTGTGGAACCAATGACAAAAATCCATACCAGTAATAAATTCATGGGTCCCATTATAAAAGATACGGGCCCCATGTATTTAAATACTGTCATGAAACCTTAGCATTGGTTCCACGAGATGCTGAACAGCTAAAGCATTCAGCTAAACCTTGCTCTCATCCAGAACCCAAACTTTTACGTCTATGTAAATCAGTGTCTCATATAATTAATGAATTGAGATATTTGCTTGTCACAAGGTGATTCACAAACCTCGCAACACATTATAGCCATGCATTGGAAACATCTTCCTATACATGACAACTTAAAAGTATGGAGATGTTTTAGATGTGTAAGGTTGGTGTGAGACGTCTTGTGAGGAGCAAATCTGAATTCATGGGAAGAACTCATTTGATAAGCCTAGTCTTTAGGTCCATGTGCATGGAGAATCCGGATTTGTATTGAAAACATTGCTCATATTTGATTTTGTCATTCATAAAAAAATATTCTCAATATAGGACTGAGATAGTGAGATGTGATTTAGGCTCATTTTGAAAAGAATACAAATGCAAATGTGTAGAAGGCAAAATCTTATATTTTATATTATTTTGTATGTATTTACACTATATATATTTCCCAAACCGAGCTTTAGGCAAGGGGTCCATGGGACTACTATTTGACAGCGAGGTTTGTTTTGCTCACTAGTGATGGCATTATGACGTTAGTCATTCATGGTGTCATCCACTTGTAATCTGTTCCCTCATGAAAGCTAAAAAATTACCCATATGTTTTTTTAAGGATAAGAAATTAAGAATAGAGTTAAATACTTAAACACCCCGCTGTTTTGTAAAATGGACCAGGTATGCCCTCCATGTTTAAAGAATACCTTGAAGTATCCTCAGGTTTTATAAATATGGTATATCGTTGCATCTCCTAACGGAAGTGGAGAAATGCCTATTTTACCCCTCATTATTTTTCAAATTTTCAAAATATGACCCAAAAAATTCAATCAAGATCAGTACCTGTTCTTCCTCCCATCAATAAATATACCAGTCCAGATTGCGTAGTGGAAAGCAATCACGCTTCTACTCGGTACCACAATGAAGAAGTAGGGAGTAATGAGTCCCCCTTCTGGGTCCACTTGGTGAGCTGGGAAGAGGAGAATGTCTCAAGCGGCCACCTATTAATTCCAGCAATACTTCCTCACAAGCTGTTGGTTTTCCATCAATGTAGTGCACATATACAACTTGTAAAATCTTCAAATCCCCATTTTGGTAGAAATAGAGCTGAGGAGGTGTAAGCAGAGAAAACAGATCAATATGGAACTGTGGATTTTCACGGCAAACAATACCGAGATTGGGTAAGAGTAGAGACAGATAAACATTAAATTATAGAACAACCATTGCTAATGCAAAGAAAATGTTAAGTTTACTAGTGGCCTGCCATTGAAATTTGAACCACATTTGTTGTTTCTTCAACGTTTCAGGTGGTTGTTTTAATTTGCAGTTACAGAGATGGGTTTAAGCTCGAACAAAGTGGAAGATCTGTCAGATGCGGCATGCAATGAAACCACCCTGAAATCATAACAGATTCTTTACCACCCATGGACGTCCATAGAGTGACTTTACCACCTAAGCAAACTGATTTTCAAATACTAAAACACAGGCTCTCTGAAAAATTTTTCCCAGCTAACCACCTTCATCCCAGATTCAAAAACCAATCACCATTTGCCAAATTAGTCTTCAATAATCCCTCCCACTCCTATTCTCAAGCACATATCTGAATCATTGGTTTTCAGGACTAGCATTGATAAGATGAGAAAGAGAAAAGGTCTTACCTTCAAAAAATCGACGCTAGGAAATAAACCACACAAAAGGCCAAAACAGAATCCAAAAAAGGGAAAAATAACTAAAGATGACAAACCGTTAGTTTTGATATTGGCTTTGCTCGTGGTACAATTTTCAGGTTCTTATTTGTTGTGGTTGGTTTTCGATGATCGGTGTTTAATGGTGGTACTGTTAGACATTTTCTTTTTATGGTAATGTGAGTAGTGGTAGAGGTTTGATTTCTTCTGAACGTTGAAACCAATCTGTTCATTGTTCATCAATGGTCGAAGTTGCCATTAATTACTACAGCACTTTCTAATTAAGTTGCAAGGGGGAGCTAAGGAAGAAACTCTCTATAACGTGATAGTAGAGATAGGTTTGGATGGTTAGAGATGGTGAAGAAGAAGAGTGGGCAAAATTGGATTTTTAAAATATTATAACAGTTATATGCCATCATGTGATTATGAACAAAGGGTGTATTTATCCTATTTTTTAGAAAACCTAAGGATATTTTAAGATATTCTTAGAACATGGAGGTATACTTGGTCCATTTTTCGTAGTTTAAATATTAAACCCTTAAGAAAATTATCATTAGCAATTTGGATTTAGTACTCACAAAAAGGTCATCACAACCTTTTGCAATCATACATTATATACTTGAGGTCCACTGACCATACTATGGAGAGCCCAGGGCTCTGCAGGTTTAATCCCACTTCATGCTAAAATCCAGATTCATTTCAGTGGGAGTACCCGCTGGATGCCGAGGGTAGGGTATGAGGGTATGACATGTAGCTTTTGTCTTTTTGAAAGTTGCAAACTAGATATTAATAATTTCCCCCTGACCCTTTTTTTTTTTTTTTACCCCTGACCCCCTTTTTTTTTTTTTGGGTATTCGGTGATATGTAACATTAATAATTTCCCCCTGACCCTTTTTTTTTTTTTTTTTCAAAATTCTGGTTGCAGGATTTGATTCCGTTCAATGCTGGAACCAGCTAACATTAACGTGCCAATCGGCCCATCCCTCGGTTGAGATTGGATCAAGGAAGAGAAATCGCGGAGTTGAAGTTGACCTCAGCCCATTAAGGAGATGGCCCATTGCCAGCTCACCTCTTATGTTTAACAACTTAACAAATGATGCATGATATGGTGGCGGTGCACTTGCACCGGGCCCATCTGGGAGGATGGATTAGCTCAATTTGATATCCTCTACGACAGTCAAAATATATGTGCCCACAACTACTCAATCTCACACTTATATATTATGAGTCCGGATTTCTTGCACACAAGAACCTTGCCTATGTCTATTCACAATACATTATTCCCAGTGAATTGGGAACATCTCCCCCTGCATAATACTATGTAGAGGATGAGATGTTCTCCATGTGTGGCTGCGATGAATGTGAGCAAAATTTTCATGGGCAGGAAATCCAGACTCATATACTATGACTGGACTGGCGTGGAACAAAGTGATTGGCCCCCCATTGCCATTATAACAGCTTTCAGATTCAGCTAAATCCCACCTTCCCATTGGGTGGCTCTGGCTGTCGATAGGCTGAGATTGGTTTCGGCTTTAGGTCCTTGTACATATTGGGCTATAGTCCGTACCTCAATTTAGTTTGAGAGAAAGGAGAATATAGGATTCAACTCAAATTATTGACCTTGTTCTACTAATATAGATGCAGCATGCAGGCCGTGGCCCAAAGCCTGA